GGCGGAGGGGCGCGGGGGGGCAGGCAAAACACACGGGGGCGCCACGCACTTAGGCCACACCTAGCGCGTATCCCAGCACACCAAGCCAGTACAGATCCCAGCGCGTATCCAAGCACACGGAGGCAGCACACAGCCCTGCGCACATCCCAGCACGCGAAGGCAGCACACGTCCCAGCACACATTCCAGCACACATCCTATGCACGGTCGGTCGGTCGGTCGCACGGGTAGGCATGATAAGCGGAGGGGGGTTGGTCGGTCGGAATGAGCAGACGGGAGCCACTGGGCGGAGTGTGGGGGGCACGGTCGGTCGGTCGGTCGGAATAAGCAGACGGGGGCCACGGGGCCGAGGGGGGGGCGGTCGGTCGGTCGGAATCACCATACGGGGGCCACGGGGCGGAGGGGGGGGGGCCGGTCGGTCGGTCGGAATAAGCAGAAACGGGGGCCACGGGGCGGAGGGGGGGCACGGTCGGTCGGTCGGAATAAGCAGACGGGGGCCACGGGGCGAATGGGAGGGGGCACGGCCGGTCGGTCGTCATCAGCAGACGGGGGCCACGGGGCGGAGGAGGGGGGGGCACGGTCGGTCGGGCGGTCGGTCGGAATCAGCAGACGAGGGCCTCGGGGCGGAGGGGCGCGGGGGGGCAGGCAGAACGCACGGGGGCGCCACGCACCCAGGCCGCACCCTAGCACGTATCCCAACACACGAATCCAGCACACATCCCAGCATGTATCCCAGCACACGGAGGCAGCACACAGCCCTGCACACAGCCCTCCACACATCCCAGCACACGAAGGACGAAGGCAGCACACGTCCCAGCACGCATCCCGGCACACATCCCAGTCCAGCTCACATCCCAGGCATGGTCGGTTGGTCGGTCGAAATATTGCAGTGCCAGATCACACGGGTAGGTATGGTAATAATTGTTGTGTTCTTGCGTACTTGCTTCTCAGGGGCCTCCTGGATGCCTTCTCGGGACGCAGGACGCAGCATAGAAAGTCGAAGCATCCGAGACCGCGACGGCGACTGTGCAACACAAAAAACACTTGCCCACCAGGCAGTAAGCATTCGACAACAACTTCTCATTAGATGCCCTCTCAGGACGCTCTCGGGGCATAAAAGGTGCCTCTGGGAAAGATCTTGAAGCCTGTGGAGGCCTCTCTGGAGCTCTCTGGTGCCGTCTGGAGGAGTCTTGGGGGCCGGCTTCGGGGGTCTAACGGGGACCTCGTTTTCAAAGGTTTTTCCTAAGGGAGTTGCGTCGTCGTCGTCGTCGTCGTCGTCGTCGTCGCCGTCGTCGTCGTCGTCGTCGTCCCTCCCCCTGCGTGCCTCCCCCCTCGGGGGGAAGGGTCCCCAGAAAAAAAATCAGGGCTGGTGGATTTGGGGCTTTTTTTTGTCCAGGCCGCCGAAAAGAACTGGGGGCGATGTTTTTGGGTTTTTTTTCTCCCCCTGGGCCCCCCCCCAGGCCTCCTCCAGGAGAGGAGTGGAGGGAACAAGAACGCGCCACCCGTCCTTATGCTCCCATTCCCCCTCCCTCCTCCCCTGAGTCTCTTCTCCGCTTCCCCCCAGGCCTCCAGCAGGAGGAGGAAGGACTGGTGGAGGAAGGACTCACCGCCCCTCCTCGTGTTCTCAGTCTTCCCTCCCCCTGCGTGCCTCTCCTCTGTCCCCCACCCCCCAGGCCTCCAGCAAGGGGAGGGAGGGAGGGAGGACGTGCCGCCCCTCCTCGTCTTCCCACTCGTCCCTCCCGTCATCCTCCCTCTCGCTCTGGGGCATGGGGGAGAAGTCCAGGGAGAAAACTCCATGCAATGAGATTGCAATGCAATGCGATTGCACTGGAATGGAATACGATTGCAATGCAATGGAATTCCAATGCACTGCCCTCCAGGAACCTGCACACATTGATTCCTTTTGTGGGGGATCCTCCACAATTTGATCCCTCCCTCTCTCTCCTTCCCTTTTCCCCAAGGCCTCAAGCAGGAGGAGGGAGGAGGAGGATCCCTTCGTGGAAGAAGTCCTCCCCCCCTCCCTTTCCCTCAATGCCTCCAGCGGAGGAAGGAGGATGGAGGGAGTGGGATTTCTTCCACAACGGAAATGCTGCCCGTCCCTCCTCATCCGTCCTCGCTCGGAACCTTCCCCCCAGGCCTCCAACATGAAGAGGGAGGAGGAGGTAGGGGACGGATTCCTTTTTGTGGAAGAAGTCACCCCCCTCTCCCTTTTCCTTCAAGGCCTCCAGCGGAGGAGGGAGAATGGAGGAGGAGGACTTCTTCCACGAAGGGAATCCTTCCCCTCCCTCCTCGTCTCTCCTCCCTCGGGACCTTCTCGCCAGGCCACCAGTTCCTTTTGTGGAGGGTCCTCCACAATTTGATCCCTCCCTCTCTCTCCTTCCCTTTCCCCCAAGGCCTCAAGCAGGAGGAGGGAGGAGGAGGATCCCTTCGTGGAAGAAATCCTCCCCCCTCCCTTTCCTTCAATGCCTCCAGCGGAGGGTGGAGGATGGAGAAGTGGGATTTCTTCCACAACGGAAATTCTGCCCGTCCCTACTCCTCCGTCCTCGCTCGGAACCTTCCCCCCAGGCCTCTAACATCAGGAGGGAGGAGGAGGTAGGGGACGGATTCCTTTGGGTGGAAGAACTCATCCCCTCTCCCTTTTCCTTAAAGGCCTCCATCGGAGGAGGGAGGAGGGAGGGAGAGGAGTTCTTCCACAAAGGGCTCGCCAGGCATCCAGCAGGTGGAGGGAGGAGGAGGGAGGGGACGGATTCTCTTTGTGAAAGAAATTCCTTATCTCCCTCCTCCTTCCTCCTGCAGGGGGTCTTGAGGGAACGGGACGGAGGGCACGTCTTCCTCTATCCTCCTCCCTCCTGCTGCTGGAGGCTTGGGGGAAAGGTCCCGAGGAAGGAGAGAGGCGGAGGGAGGGGAATGAACCCCTTCGTGGAAGAAATCCTCCTCCCCACCCTCCCTCCTCTTCCTGCTGGAGGCCTTGAGGGAAAGGGAAGGAGCGCGCGGCTTCCTTCCATCCTCCTCCCTCCTCCTGCTGGAAACCTGGGGGGAGGTCCCGAGTGAGCGAGAGAGAGAGAGAGAGGGATCAAATTGTGGAGGTCCCTCCAAAAAGGACTTAATCTGTAGAGGCCCCATTCAAAATTAATCAACATAGTAATCCTCCACAAAGGGAGTCCTTGTCCTCCCTCCTGCTCCCTCCTCCTGCTGGAGAGAGTGAGAGGGATCAAATTGTGGAGGACCCTCCACAAAAATAATCAATATGTGGAGGTTCCGCCTTTCACGCATTCAACAAGTATTTACTCTCACGCTCTCTGTCTCTTTCCCTGTCTCTATATTTCCCTCTACATCTGACACACACACACGCGGGCGAAATATGTATAATCCTTGGGTGGGGGAATCTTTGACAACGCATACCCCTTTGCGCATGAAGCCCGAAAACGCACAGAAAGAACGCCACGCGCGAGACGACGCAACTCCCTTATGAAAAACCTTGAAAGCGCAGGCCCCCGCTAGACCCCCGAAACCCTTGGGGGCTTCCCTGGGTCTATCTTGGTTGTCTTGTGAGCCTCTTGGCCGGTCCTGGTGCCGTCGGGGACGTCAGGAGGAATCACGCAACTGGATTCGCAAAGGAGGTGGGGGGCTTCAAGAAACCTTTTAAATCCAGCCAGACGGCACCACCATTCTGGTGTTCCGCTACGTGCCAGGGCGCACGGCGGCAAATGTTTGCTCCTGTTCCTGCTGGCTGCTCCGTCTTCTCCATAACACCGAACACGACAGCAACGACGTGGCGGCGTTCGAAGCCGGTCTGGCTCAGGTCTGGCGCAACGCATTCCGTCGAGGCCTGGTCGGTGTTTGCAGTCGCCTACTTCACACTGGTCCGGCTTCCTGAGCTCCTACAGTGCTATTTCATTTTGACGGTAATCGCACGCCCGATACTGGAAGAACAGTCAACGGCATTTGCATGTATTTTCGGAGGTCTGGGCAGATGTCTTGCGGACGTCGCCAGGGGAGGCGCCGGAGACCCAGCCAGGGGTGTGGGGAGTCGGGCCCAGCGCCGACCCCAGAGATCTGCGTGGACCTCCGAAAGTGTCTGTTTATGTTGTTGCTCGTTCTCCTGTGATCCACAAGCCGATGCCCAGGGGAAGGCTAAACTTGCCGGTTCTCTTCCATCACCCGTCGACGGGGTCGCAACGTGGGAGTGTTTGGGCACACCTCCGATCCTCGCTTGGAAGTTCGGCATCGATGTGCCCAGCGGAGGTATCTGCAGTCAGGATTCGATCCGCCGCAGCCTCTACCGCGTGCGTTCACGATTGGGCTGTGGCTGAATCTTGGCGAGGAGGCGTGGAGGCCCTCTGCCTGCAGGCCAGCGACTGCCGTTCTGCAGCTCGGTGCCAGCACGCTGTCGTTGCACGGGGGCTGTCTCGGGCTCCTGGGGGGAGGCGTCACGTCTACATCCACCGTGTCCGTGCCTCGACGGCGCTGGGTGCAGCTCTTCCTGTGCCGCGGCGACGATGGCACCTGTGCAGCCTTCGGGGCCTGGGACAGTCTGCGCGTCCGCCACCTTGGCAGCCTCGGGACCTTGTCGAACGACGCTGTCCTGGCAGCTGTGGGTGGACCAGCTCCTGGTGGCGATGCTTGTGGTTCATGCGGCGCCACGAGCCAGATTCAAGTCTGGGGCCATTCTCTGTCAGCTGGAGAATTGCTCAGCGCATTTCTTGCCGATGCGGTGCGCTATGGCTGCCTTACGGTTGCCCAGGTAGATGCATTCCGTGCAGGGCGGCCGCTGGGGCGGGAATCTGCGCAGGAGGAAGAGTTTCAGCAGCGCCTCGAGCTTGTGCGAAGCGGCAAAGCGGGTGTTGCTGACTTTGCTAATTTTGACAACCCGGGTGGCTTCCAGATATCTTTCCTTGACCTGCCTTACGTGTTGGAAGCCGTTGTCGAAAGTGGTGTACCTCGATTGTTGTTGAGTGATGCCTGGCTGGAGCCAGATGATATCCTTGACATTGTCAAGCACATGTCGTGGGGACGGCTACAACATGTTGACATCACAGGCTGCATGGCTGCTGGCGTGCTTGGACAGGAGCTTGTTGACATGCTCCCATACCATAAGGGCTGCTGCCTCGAGGCAGCTAACACGGGACTTGCGGATGAGCACGTGGTGCGACTTCGGAACTTGGCAGGGCAGACCGAACAGGCTCGGGCAAGGGTGGTTGAGGCCGAGCGGCAGTGCCAGGCAGCGTGCAACGAGTACCTCGCAATGCAGGATGCACTGGAGGATCTTGCGAACGAGCAGTGCGAGCAACAGGTGCCTCCGGCGCCTCCGTTGCCATTGCACCACCCGAAGAGATGGCGTAAGGGCGTGGACACACCTGCGCGCAATGAGTACGCTTCGTTCCGGAGTGCCAATGTGAGCGGGCTGAAGCGGGAAGACGATGGTTCTTGGTCGATGCTCGGCCGGAGTGGGGCCAGCATTGCCCTTAGCACGGACGAGTTTGCAGCGCTTGATGAGCAGCGGCGCAACATGCTAGCAGGTGAAGGGTACGAAGAAGGGGAGAGAGAGGACGAGGAATCTGCTGATGCTCGGCCCGGTGGTTCTGCTGGCTGTCAAGCACTTCTTTCTGAGGTCCAGTCCTTCCAGAACCTGGTTGGCTTCATGGTGTGGAACGGTGCGAAGGCCCTTGCCGATGATGTTCAGGCAGCCCGTCGCAAGCGCGAGGAGTGGGAGTCGTTGTGGGCAAAGAGAATCGAACTCCAGAGAAAGCTTGGCCATGCTAGCAAGAGTGTTTATGACGCATCTGATCGCCCAGCACGTGTCGCGAGCGGACAGCTCATCGCACACTTTACTCATCTGTGTCTGGGCGGCGCGCTCACTGGCGACGACGTTGTGGAACCGTCCCAGGGCCCCGGAAACCCGGACATCTGCGAACCAGAAGTTTGCCAGATCCAGCGGGAGAGAGAGCATTTAATGGAGAATGTGTCGACCCACGGCTCCAGTTTTTTCGCGGGCATACCAATGTCCTGGTTTGTAAGAAGTCCTCGTTTTCGGGCCCCTGACCGTCCGAGCGTTTTGGTTTAAAGCGCATCAGCGAAATGCCCCGCCCTCAGCCATGGCGAGGACCGGACTTGCACACTGCTCTTGTTTCTGGACAGGTTGTTATAGATGCAGCTGTTGGGAGAGGGTTTGGCAAGGACAGCATGCAGCTCGCACTGAGAAATTGTAGCTCTGACGCGTGCCAAGTCGTAATCCGGCAGGGTACGATTTTCCAGCATGTCGACTGGCAGCATCGGCAGAATCTGCTGGTAGCCGTTGACTACCTGATGTCGGTGCCTGCCGGCGGGGTGGCATCCAAGACGCTTATGGCGTATTGCATGAACCTGAGCTGTGCCTGCTCCAATGGGAACCCAATGGAGCTCACAGAGTTTTATTTTGATGATCTCGAGGTTCTTCACGACCAGATGAGAGTGTGGGATCACTTCCAGCGCAGCTTTGGCCTCCGGTAAAGCCTTTGCGAGGTATGAAGCACGCCCTCCGACGGGAGCAGTCGCTTGTCCCCCATGCCCAAGCGCGGGCATGGCTTTCAGGCCCATGAGGGGTCGGGACATAGCGGTCTCCTCTTTCTTATCCCCACCCTCATCCTCATCTCCCCCCTGGACGTTGAGAAGTGACCTGTTTTGGCTGCTTCTGCCTTCTTGCACGCCGCGGTCCAGTCGGGATCTCGTCTTCGAGCAGTCGAAGAGTTGATGTCTCTTCCTCGGCGGAAGGCGGTGAAGCGGGCGGAAGTACAAGCTGCCCTCCCAAGATGTGTGAGTGTGTTGCGTCAGGCTCAGGACCTCCGGGTTGGGCCGCCCGCAGTGCCAGCGGGGCTCCTCTGCCGAAAGAGGCGGAGCCAGGCGCCCTCCGCAGGCGGGAGGCGGTCGGCGTCGTGGCCCAGGTCCGGCTTTCACCCCGGGTGCGCACGGACCGCCCCTGGCAGCTGCGGCAGGTTCGCGTGGCGTGGACGCGGCGGCGATCCCAGGGTGAGCGAGCGAGGCTGGACGCCGCCACTGGCCCGCCAGAGCCGGCCGACATCGAAAGAGCCGCGCTGTCGGAGAACCGCGGTCGTTGAGGGCTGCACGATCACGATCCACGCGGTGCCGGAAGCGCGCAGGTCGTCAGGGGTCGGGCGGAGGCCCAATCTGCTCCTAACGCCTTCCTGCTTCATGGTCTTAGCCACTTCCTCCGGCCGACGGGTCATCCTTGTCGGCGTGTTCCCGAGTCTGATGGCATATCTCACGCCGCCCGCCGCAGGGGACCGGAGCTGGGCCGCTGCGGTGCGCGGCCCGCGCAGTGGTCCGATCAGGATCCCGAGTCCCAAAGCCGCGCGATGACCTGCTGACTCACCACTCGGCGTGGTCACCACACCGCTTGGGGGCTGCCTTGTGATGATAGGGCCTCGGAGTCCTGCCCCTCTTGCCTGGCATGGTTTGACGCGTCTTCTCCTGGCGTGCGTGCGCTAATGCCATGTGGCTGCCAGTCTTGATGCATGGATCGCGAATTTCCCCTCACCATCCTCCCGCACGCCGCCAGCCTGCTTGTCACCAGCTGGTGCTCGCTCTGGTCAGTACGCCTTGCGCCGGCCGCCTAGTGTGCAGCGGTGGCCGCGAGCACGGCGGCTGTCAGAGGTCAGGACGCAGACCATTTCCAGACATGCTCGGGTCGTGTCAAAACACGACGGGATGTTTTGGGTCGTTTTCGGCCTCCTCGGGCCTTCGCCGGGCCCCGGGACTGTCAAACAACGATTCGGGACCGGGGGCAAGGTTCGGGACTTGCGGGGCCCCGCACTGAAAAAGTCAGGACCTCGCATCTCTGGGTTCGTGGCTGCTTCTCGGAGCATTTCAACCAGAATTTCAATTCACGGCGTGTGCCATTCACTGACCTGTCACGCTTCGGACAGTCGATGTTTCGTTGGCTGGCCTCTGCGCTGTCAAACTGTCTCTCTCCCCTCCTCCCCCTTCCTCCCCCTCCCTTGTCCCCCCCCTCCCCCTCCCAGGACCCGCTTCGATTCGATCGATCCAGTTCGATACCGATTTCGCCTGGCTCGATCCAATGCCATTTTTATTGTTGGGCGATCCGATGCGGCCCGATGCTGGCACAGCGTAATTTCTTGTGCGGGCGCAGCCGATTCGATCAGATCCCGGCTCCGTGCCGATGCAGCCTCCCGATTCGATGCTGGCTGATCCTGCCCATTTTCATCTGCCTCCCCCTCCTCATCTGCTCTCCCTCCCGATCTTGAGCTCTTCGTTTCTGGAACCTTTCTGAGGGGCACTTAACGGATCTGTTCGACTAAGTTTCGACTCAACTTCGATCCAAGTACGACTCTGGCCCGACTCAGGTTGAGTTCAAATTCGACTCAAAGTCGACAGACATTCGATTCAGCATCGACGCACGAGTGGAGCGAATGGCCCCAGCAAGGTCCCCAGAACGAGCATCTCACGTTTGCGTTTCCGCTGCGTGAGCCAGCGCCTTCGTTCTTAAGGAGGCTCCACCTTTTGCCCTACTGCTTGGCCGGGCGGGCCTGGCAGATGTCGCTAATGATCTCCAGATCTGCTTGGCCGTTTTCTTGGCATCGCTCGGACGTGTGCATTGTTTGTCGGCGGTTCATCGAAAAGCATCTTGGGTCATCGAGCGAGGACAATACACGCACCAATCCGAAACATGCACGGGGAGTGGACGTCCAGACGACGGCAAGTTTCCTGCCCCTCACTCCAGCAATCAGCGAGTCGGTCGGTTCGCTTTCGCTGCAAAACCCCCTTGCCGCCAGACCGAGCATCTCACCATCTGCTCCCCCCCCTCCTCCCCTCTCGGGAGGGAAAAAAACACACAGACACAATGAATCGTCCACTCCCAGGAAAATATATGGGAAAATATGTGAAGTGGGGGGGAACACACAAACCCCGAAAATACAGGAAAATATGGGACATCCTTTTATTTGTGTGTATTTATTTGTGTGTCCTGGGGCCCCTCCTCCCCTCCTGCGCGGCCCGCGCGCCCGCAGCCACGCCATGCCTCCGCCGCCCCTGCCTCCTCCACCCCCCGAACCGCGCAGCGCGGCGCCGGGCTCGCCCGCGCGAGCGCGGGCCGCCGCGGCCGTGCGCGAGCCCTCGCTTTTTTTTGCCTCTCTCTCTCTCTTTCTCTCTCTTTTTTTTCCTCTCTCTCTCTATCTCTTTTTTTTTTTTTTGTTTTTCTTTCTCTCTATCTCTCTCTCTCTCTCTCTCTCTCTCTCTCTCCCCCCCCTGCCCAAAGCTTGAAGGGAGGATGGGGACGGGTGGAGAGGGGGAAGGCGAGGAGGAGGAGGAGGATGATTCGGATTCGGAGCGATTGCGAAGAGGAGGAAGAAGAGGAGGAGTAGGAGGAGTCCAGTCCGTCGCTGACGAACAGTCGCACTGTTGCGGGCGTTCCGTCGCCCTGGGCTGAGTCGCTTGCAGAGCCACGAGCGTTCGCGGCTCTGTCAAGGAAAAAAGGAGGTCCAGTGTAAACCCAAGTCTGATTAACGATCTTATTGTTTTACCGTCCCTCCTAGCTCCCTTTCCCTAGGCCTTTACAAATATTCATTCTCACTGAGGGGAGCGGCCCGTTTGAAGGCAACCGTTTGAAAATCCTGAACCGCACCAGAGCACCATTTTTGGGACTCCAGCGCCTTGAATACCTTTACTGCTGCGTCTTGACGATCCTGGACCGTGCCAGAGGATCCTGAGACTTCAACGCCGCGAATTAATGTAAGTCTTGCGCCCTGACAGTCCGACATCGTGCCAACTCACCTTGTCTGCGACGGTGACCATGATCATCCTTGAAAGTGTTGTACATGATTGACACGAATGGGCGAGGAGCGAAGGCGATAACCACATGTTGAAACGGATCCGCCCTCCATCCGTGAAACTCTTGCAGTTTTGTAAAATGAATGTGATGGCGCTAAGACGAGATTCACATTTTGAAAACGGCCCGTCTTCCACCCATGAGGCTTCTTCATTGCTTAATGAATGTCCGCGGCGCTAAGCCGAGAACCATACTTCGAAACTGATCCACCCATGCAATCGTAAAACGTTTGCAGTTTTTTTAAAGACGAGTGTGCGCGGCGCTATGGCGAGAGACACATGTTGAACACGACCCGCCCTCCATCCGTGAAGGTCTGGCAACACGACCCGCCCTCCATCCATGAGCGTTGGGCTGAGTCGAGAGCCACATGTTGAAAGCGAATCGCCCTCCATCCGTGAACATCTTCAAATTCTTAACTTCAGGATCATAAATGGTGGGGAAGTCTCATGCGAAACGCCCAGCCCGCCCTACCGAGATGCCCCGGGGTGCGACAGGGATGAGTTACTTATAAGGAAACTGATGGTATAGGAAAAAAGAAATGAGCAGAAGGACGCAGTGCCCGAGTCTAGAAACCGCCCAACAGGGGAACATCACAAACAAGGCTCGACCCCTTCCGTAGCCATTTTGGCTCAAGACTCAAGTCTTGGGCTGAATGCATTTTGCCTTGGAGCGTTAGGGCGGCTAGCCTTTGACACAAGCGAGGTGAAGCGTGTTTCCTCCCAATGGCCGTCCCAGACTTATCCACCTTTGGGTATCAAGTGCAAGCTGTTGCCTGGATGTTCTGCACCGTTATGATGCTGGGGCGGCAGTTGTGGGTCGAAGGCACATGGAGACTTTGCTTTCGCGATTGCTCTGCTCGATTGCTCGTGTTCTGTAAAAGGGTGGGGACATGCTTTATTGAGAGAGGTAGCAGTGAAGATGCCCTTCACTTGCACAAGCGAGCCATGGGGCTTGACATGTCTCGACGATGTTGCTGAGTCGCTTCTGTAGCCGCCGTCGGATTTGTTCTCCCGCTTTCCCTGCTCACCCCCGATGACCGTGCGCATATCGGTCCGAGGCGTTTGCATTACGCCTTCTGCTCGACGATCATGGTGACCCTCAATATGTTTCCAAGGCTGATGACCCCATCACGACTTCACTTTTGGTATTCTCTAATCTGCATTTCAAATACATTGACGGTGTCACCTTTGTTGCAGGTCGCGGACTCGATTGATGACCTCAAGGTTCATATTGTGATTGATTGTATTTCTTTCAGCTTTGTTGACCTGACCCTTCCTCTGAATTTGTTTTGGTCGACAGTTTGCTATCTATCCGCTGCGCTCACCTTGTATGTTGGCAATTCAAATGAAAGGGCTTGCGATGACTCTGGATCATGTAACGACGCTTTTGGCGTTGCAGTGGGCGGCACTCTGGCAATAGCTCTCTTCCACGTCGTAATCTCATATGTGGCCCTGGCCCGTTTGGAGGGTCAAACATACTGGAACGAGCTGCGCGCGGCAAGGTCGATATTAGCAGGCATGTGCGACGCTGTGGTGCAGCTCGATGGCGAGTTGAGGTTCACGCAGCCTTCTCACCGACTCGCCACTTTGCTATTGCATGATCCGCCTCGAGCTTTGGTGGGAGAGAGGGTGTCGAATTTTCTTGCCACGCAGGCCGATCGCGAGAAGTTTGTTGAAGAGGTAACTTCCATTACCGCGAATGAGGAATTCTGTAAGGCTTTTCACGTACATATGCGTTGCAATGGTGGCAGTGCATTGCCGCTGGAAGCATTTTGCGTGCGTTTCAGCAGTGGTGATGAAAAGTGGTCGTACCTAGTCGGCTTCCGGTAGTTCGCAGACCTGGCTCCACCATCTAGCATGGCGTTGCCCAGTGCCCAATTGTCGAAAAGTGCCCAGGACGGGTTGCAGTCACTCGGTAAGAAGCCCTCCGATGCTATCACCTCTTCAGGTAGCTCTGAGTCTGTTGCATCCGAGATTGCTGTTTGGATCGACGCTCAGTCATCAGACCTCAGAATGCTGAGCTGCAACAGTGTCTTCGAGATGTTTGCTGGCGCTTCTTGGTCGCAAATGAGTGCTTCCCAACCGAGTCTTTTGCAGTGTGTTGAGCCAGGTCAGCAAACTGATTTTGAGTTCTGGGTCCGTCGTGTCCTCGAGAAGTCCACCAAGGACGATTCGCCGCCCGCTGTGAGCGGGGTGCGTTTCCGCTTCAGTGAGTGTCATCACCGTTTCCGCCTATCCGTCGAGTGCACGCTGACATTGATTCTGTGTTTGCCAGGTGGCATGGGGGCTGGGGGGCTGGACCGAGCTGCGAGCGAGGTGAAGCTTGTCTTCGAGAGGCCCAGGTGGTGCCAGGGGCAGCGTTGGCGCTCGCGCGTCAGACCGCGCGGGCCCCGCCGCGCCCCTGGGCCACCAGGCGCCCCCGAGGCACGCGGCGCCGCCGCGGCAGTGGCGGCGGCCCAGGAGCTCGCCGGCAGCGCCCGGGCCCCAGCGCAGTGCCTGGGCAGAGCGGCGCAGCCAGAGGAGGCGAGCGGGCCGTGGCTGGAGGCCCCCGCGGGTGCAGGCGCATCCGCGCCCAGGCCCAGCAGCACCTGGGGGGTGGCGCCCGCGGCGTGGCGGCGGGCGGCGGCGGCGAACAGCACACCGGCGGTGCGGACCGCGGGGGCAGCAGCCGAGGCAGCCGCGGCAGTGAGGGCCGTGCGGGGAGAGGGCGGGAGAGGCAGAGCGACGCTCTCAATACCCTGGCGCTCTGACCCTCAGCGTCGAACGTGCAGCTTGGATCCATGTGTTGTGGAAGTAGTGGTGCGCGGTAGTAGTAGCAGCACCGACGGCAGACTTTTTGCACTTTTGGACAGCTGACCGATACCAGTTGGGGCCGTGGGCGCGCCCCTTTGAAAAAAATAAAAAAAACAAACAAGGCTCGACCCTAAAGTTGACGAGCTCCCTCTCTAGGGTAAAACTGCCTCAGGTGAGCATTCGTGACCGACCCGGTGTTTGAGCCACCAAATCACGAAGAAAGCCAACACTCTTCTGGTAAAGTTGGGCAGGGAGGCATATCCGCTTGGGAAATAGAGCCAGCGATTGAACCCTACTATCCACCACGCTCCACGTGCAATGCCCAACCCTGACACGCTGCCCAGGTCGCTCAAATGACGATGCAGCCAACCGCAGGCCCTTGCCCCGATCAGCTTACCGAGGGACACCTCTCCCTCGGCGACTCCCTGTCCTCACGTATCGCTTGCTCGGGTACTGGTCAGTGGCACGCATGGGCGAGGGACCACCCCCGCAAGGTGACTCGCATACATGAGCATCCCCCGCCGACCCTGTCAGTCGGGGTGATCCGGGTACCAAACACTGGCGAAGCCTGGACAGTACCCGCCCGTGCTACCGAATCGTACCGACGAGGAGGAGGAGGAGAAGGAGGAGGAGGATGAGGAGGAGGAGGAGCAGCAGCAGGAGGAGGAGGAGTAGGAGGAGGAGGAGGAGGTTGGGATGGAGTGGGAGGAGGAGGAGGAGGAGGAGGAGGAGGAGGAGGAGGAGGAGGAGGAGGAGAGGGGCATGAGGGGGAGGAGAAGGAGGAGGAGGAGGAGGAGGAGGATGAGGAGAGGAGAGGAGGAGGGGGAGGAAGAGGAGGAGGAGGAGGAGGAGGAGGAGGAGGAGGAGGAGGAGGGGGAGGAGGACAAGCTAGGTGCGCTCGCGTCATATCAGACATCCTACCCCTCCCTCCCATCCCTTACCATGGCGTAGATCCCCTCTCTACTCCACAGTCGGATGTCGAACAGGGCAATGATCCCGAAAAGGTACGCGATGCATTGTAGAGCAGAAGAGCACCGCAAAGCGTAGTATGTCACAGCATGGCGTGGCGTGGCGTAGTGAAGAATTGCATCACAAAGCTTTGCAACGCAAAGCATGGCATCGCACAGCGGCCCCGAACATAACATTGCATAGCATGGCGTTGAAGATCAAAGCGTAGCATGGCATAGCACGACGTGGCACTTAAGCACTGCATATCACAGCTTCAGCTGAAAGCATGGCATCGCGCAGCGGAACGCAACCTAGCATTGCATTGCATGCCGTGGCATGGCACGGGAAATGACGCCAGCGCTGCAGCGGGAGCACGATTCGGAACGAGCGGAAGCGCGGAAATGAGGCCAGCGCTGCAGCGGGAGCACGAGTCGGAACAAGCGGAAGCACGGCAATGAGGCCAGCGCTGCAGCGGGAGCACGATTCGGAACGAGCGGGGCCCGACAATGAGGCCCGCGCCTCAGCGAGAGCAGCATTTTGAAACAAAATGCAGGCGACAACCCAACTCCGGGGAATCCTGTGTGTAAAA